AGTTGCTATAGTCTGGTCCAGGTCTGGTCCAGACAGGTTTTTGCTGGACTGTGAACCAGACCAGGACCAATTTCTTATGAAATCCTGGACCTCAGACTGGACCCAGCTGGACCTCTTGTGGACCGGACCAGCAGTCCAGTCCAGGTCCGAACCCAGTCCGGACCTCTGGACCAATTATATAATATATATTAAAATAATTCTGTCTTATTAACATATTATATAAGATAGATATACTATTAAGTACTATAATAATATGTTTCTGAATATATGTAAGCTTATATGTATCAGAATACAATTACTTTTATTATTTGTATTATACTAAGTGTAAAACACAAGAAGTACTAGTGTAATAGAAATCAGTTCCTACAGTCAATGTAAACTGCTGTTTACATCTGTAAGACACAGTATAGTCTATTTGTATGCTTAAAGGGTATACAATACACTATACAATATATGTAAGAGTAGTTCACATTTATTAGGCTCTGTACAGTCCATTTGTATGCCTTAAAAAAGTAGTATCTACAATATAAACAGTTTACAGTCTGGTCCAGGGTCCAGGCAGTCTAAAGTGGTCTGGAAATTTTTGTCAAATGCTAGACTACAGACTGGACCCCTGTTAGACCCAACTGGACCGGACCTTAATCAGACTGGACCCAGTCCACAGTAGTCCTGGACTGGACAACAGTAACTATAATAGAATAATGACTTTCTACTTCATTTGGACTAGAAATCCATACTAAGTCTATTAAAACTGTTTGAAACTAGTCTAATTTATTTGGAATGAATTTAAAAACATAAATAATACTTAGAAGAACCTTCCCTGAGTGTAGAGAGAGGTTGGGGGAAAATGCTCAATTTTAGCAAACTTAAATATGTATTATACTTATATGTGTATTCTGTATCCTAGTTAGAATTCAATATGTAAATTAACAATAAAGTTATATTCTTCATTTAAACTAGTTTATAGTATTGTACAATCAGTTTTAGGGCTGGGAAAACTCATATACATGAAATATAAGGAAAACTCACATATTGTGTTGTATCTTACTCTAATTTTGCTCATTTTACTTTATTTTTTCTGGAATATGAAAGATACTTCAAAAGTATAATTTTTACAGCTTAGATCATGTAATTTGGTTAAGTATTAGTTGAGTTATAGTAGATTTTGTATTTGAGTGTACTTAGTGTGACGAAAATCACGAATCACACATGTGACAATATTTATGAAAACAAC